GAATCATAGCATAGCTAAAAAACAGATGATATTGTCAAAATTAAAAACTAACCTAAAATATAAAATAACAAGCTGTTATACCCGTGCTTTGCAACGGGAAGAAAATGTGACATAGAGAGCTATTAAAGTGGTGCTGATGTGCGTTTAAAAATACAGCAACTATATGATTTAGTTTTTACTTTGCATAGTAAACAATCTTTTTGCGTAGTAAATTATGTAATGGTGGATATTTGCAGGTGATAAACACTTTTGTTGACACAAGGTAATGAAGTAGTCGGTTCTATATAATTCAGACCAGCTGGTTTTACAGCCTATGCATAAGGGAACATTCTTGGAATTATTTTTTTTAAATATGAAAAACTAATTTTTAATGTTAACATTTCATTGAAAGTTTGAAACCAGCTATTAGTTAAACCAAATTATATTGTACTGAAACAATATGGAGTGAGGTAATTTCAACAGTTATATTAAACGTAAACCTTAACCCTCTTTTAACTGTGCAGTATGAAAATTTAATAGTTGAGTTTTATGTTGATTAAGTTTTAGTCCATTAACTTCAAACCAGCTTGCCAATTAAAATAAAGTTTGATTAATTTGATGCTCCAATTAGGCTGTAACAAACTATACGTTGGTTTTCTTAGAGAATATTTAATGCAGATTCTAAAAAAAGCCTACGTGTTGAGAAAAATGAGATTTTATTAAGCAATATAAAGAAATCTGGGAAATCTAAAAACGGCTGTTGCTGGAAGTAGAAGTGGGATATAACTAACTAAATTGAGTATTTTTATTGTGCGCACAATAATTCTTAAAACCAAACACCCTGTATAGATAAGTAAACTGTTGTAGTTTGCTTGTTTATGAACATGTTTTAATCAAATTTGAGAAAGACCAAAGAACGTTCTTAATTTGAGTATTGTTTATTCAAACACTTAAGCTTTAAACTTCTCTCATTTCTTAGAACTATTCAATAGAAAAATTGGTTAATTGAAAACAAGGGTTTTAATGTATGACATTGATTCGAAGTCCAGCATAATTGTATCCTCAATTTTCTAGGTTGTCCTTAAACTAAATACACGTCCCTGTATTATCTTGACTAAAAATAGATTCTTCATTCACAAGAATTTATACAATTTTAATGTTTTACAGGGGTTTTGTCCAACATCCAATTTGATTTCGGCCGTGGACAAGAAAGGTGTGCCTCGTAGCTTCTTGATGAATGACCTTGTTGCTTGCGAGGTTTTGGAAGTGATTCCAGATATGGAGAAGATTGTGTGTGGCATGAAGGGAGTTCAAGTTACAGAAGAGCAAAAGGCTCGTCTCGGTCTTTTCCATTCTGACGATTTTCCCGAGGCTTACAAGTAAGCTCATATGAATAACCTTGACTTGTCTTAGGGCGCTTTGCATGCTCGGCAACACGTTTTACAGAACAACTTTAACCTGTTGTTTTTGATAAAATCACTTTTATTGTTCTTTGTGGAAATACCAAGTGGAAAGCAACCTTAGTGTTTATTTTCACACTTAAATATCATACCTTAGTGAATTTTCGTTTATTTAAATTTTATATCTTCTAAGTATACGGTATGTTATGTGCTACCAGCAAGCACTCTTTTACTTGACTAACACTTAAACTTTGGGTCATATTTCATTTCAGAATATTCTTTAAATCATACTAATCTGTATGAAAAATAGGAACAATGCATTTTTTAGCTATAAAATAGGCTTTAACCTTTTGGGGTTTTAGAACAATTCTTTAGCCAAATTAAAAGTGTTGTAGGCGAAAACCGGATTCAAACAAATGCAAAAACTCAAAGGCCTACACCTCACAAACATCTGAAATTCATGTTGTACATTTTATATGAAGCATGCTGAGGAAATAAATACAGATTGCTGAGTTTTTAGTACAGCTCGTGTGTGCTATACCAAGCTAAATTTCCACAGAAATGACTTGTGTTTATATGATCAATGAAAGCCTAACTATTTGATTGGTTTGATAACTATTTTTATCAGATAAATAGTGGTACCATTGCATCAATTAACTTCATTAGTGTAAATTATGGGTATCACATTAAAGAGCTTCACTATTGAAATTTGTCAACAATATCTACTGCTAATCATTCTTTTAAATTGTTACTTGTTTGAGAAATAAAAAATAAAATAAAATCTTAGTTTTTATAGGTCATAGAGGGTTTTATTTGACTAGTGTCAATTAAATCATTACTAGCTTAATAACTCTGTTTATGTTTACATTTCAACAATCCATTAGGCATACACCTTAACATTTATTGCATTTTAAAATGAAAACAATAATAATGTGATTCAAAAGGTCAAAAGGACTTAAAAGGCAATCTAGTACCCTGTGTGTTTTTTCTATGTGATGTCTCACTCACTTTGTAAGCACATTTTACTGTTACGTAAGCACACTTTGTTGTCGACAGGTAAGATTGTGTTTTTTAGGTTGTTGTGTGAAGCAAACAATTTTATTTGTACTTTCTTGTTTAGCCAATTCACCAAGTTAAAATGTATTACTGGAGACCATAGATTGATAACTGTGGATAATTTTAATGCGGAATGGTTCACGATAATGTTGCCGAGATGATTGTATGGTATTAAGAAAACGATATGTATTTGGAGTACTACCTAAGCATTGTTTGAAAATAAGGCGTACACGTAATGCCTTTTAGAAGAGCCGACTTTGTTTCACATGTTAGCTGGAACCGAGATATCAAGAAAGGTAATGTAGTTAGTAGGCTAACTATACTAAATTGCATTTTCAGCTAAACTATGGTGTGGTGGATTCTATTTCTGTCTGATGAGTTGTCATTGGTTTAAACAAGTTTGTCATTGATTGTTTGGATTTTTTAAATGCTGAATGTTTTTGCTGAACGCAACAAACAATCTCTGTACTGATATGTACTGTATACAAAGGAAGAAAAAGATGTGGTAAACGAGTTGGCAACTAATTGAAGTTGAATTGATGAGATAGATTCACTGAAGTCGAAGAATATGGCAATGAAAACTGTGGCACAAGTGTTTATAATAGTTGCAGATGTGTTGGAAAGCAAATAGATTGACACGAGCAATGATGAAAATGAACAATGTTATTACAGCTGATAGATAAAACTGAAATGAATAATGTAAGAAAAATTTAGCCAGCAAAAACATTCAGCATTTGAAGACAATTAATTTTTATATACCATTTTAAAATGTTGTTTACTGTTCAAATGAATTGTTTTGGTATTCTCTTTTAAGTGCCTTTTAAGTTTACAACAGATTTTTACTCTTACTTGAGTGTCAACTTTAAATTAACTCATAAATGCAGTGTTTAACCATGTTTGAGTTACCAGATGTTTGACGTCAACTATGTGTTCGGTAGTGTTTGGCGGCCTTTGCAAAGGTTTCATGTGTTTTGTTTAAAAATGACACATGAGTAAGGTAGAACTTCTTGACATGTGACAGTTATGTGCGCACGCGATAGTTTCTTCCCATAATTTTAGTGGGTAGGAGAAGAATCTTTAAACAATATTCCCAATTGTTGAGTTGATAGAAATATTTAATTTGCTGATTGCTAAATTTAAAAATTAAAATTCGTTTTATGATAATAATATCTAGGTCAGAGTATAACTGAGGTCAGAGTAAGCAGGGTGTACAGCTGTGACCTAGAAACCGGTAATCTTACATGATTTTTTATGACTAGAGAAAAGTCTGTGAATTGATTGTAAATTTCGTACATGAGGCTAGGAAATTTTAGATTTTGAGCAATTGTTTCAATCACCATTAAGATACGCCAACAATTGTCTCTATTCCTCCTTTTGCATTGTTTTGTCAAGTAGTAAAGGTAAAAACAAGAAATATCGAATCTCAAAATTGAAACACAAAACTTGTTTACTTGCCTTATTAAGATTACAAAAAATACTGGTAGTGAAACAATGTTTGTTAATTGTTATGCAATCAAAACTGAAATAAATTAGACTTCTGACTCTGATTTAATAACATGAATAATACATCTTTGGCAAATACACCTTAAATATAAAAAAAAAATTATATTATTTACTGGCATAAACTGAATATTTTATTGATCATCGCCGATCGAATCCTTAAACTGGAACTTTTTTTTAGTTTTGAACTGGAACTTTTTTCAGAGTTTTGGTGGTTTTGAGATTTGGGTTTGACATAATCACTAGAATCAAGAAAGAAAATTGTGATCACTGTATTACTGTGACTGGCACACAGAAGTCGCTGGGATCGTAAGAAATTATCACAGAAATTGTTTAATCGCAGTTTGTATCATAACGGATGTTGCCGCAATCGTGAGAGATCATCATTGATTTTGAATGGTCACTGGAGATAATTATGGATTTTGCCATGACCTCTGATCAAATGTTTTATGATGAATTTTGCTGCGATCGGGAGACGTGGAATGGTTCATAAGTTTTATATTTGTGGGACAATTGACACCCTGGTATGGGTGTATAGAACTAGGGACCAAACCAGTCAATATTCATGACATTTGGTACTAAGTAACTAGGCCTAACTTCATTTGCTTATTACAAATTTCTTTGAATGTCCCTTCATTTCACTGTTAAAATAACAGGATATCAAAACCTTAAAAAATTAAATGTATCTTTATTTTACAATGACAATTACTTTATTCGTCACATAACATTACAAACCTGAGAATAGCTTGTATAACAAATTACTCGTCAAATCAAGTTTAGTTAAAAAAAGGAAAAAATTCAATTTATGTACAAAATTATATTTCATCAAATCATCAGGCTGGTTCAAAAACGTCTTATCAAAAAGATCTGTTTTATTGATTTGGTTAATATCTGTTCAGCTTATCTTTCAATAATTATAAATAGTGCAAATTGATAAAGAAACATTTTTATCATACTTTAAAACCAAGTATTATAATTTGTAGGCTCTAAGAGAAATTTCAATAAAATGACAATTGCATGCAATATTTGTTCTGCTACAAATTTTGATTGGTTCTATTACTATTTTCATTTTTTTATTGCAGCAATTTTTTCAAGATAACCTCTGCAACTTTTTTATTTGACCTGACTACTAAATTATGATGAGATTCCATAGGAGTAAAATGCTATATTCGTTTGTGTTAGTTCAAATAAAACACAAGGTCAAGAAAAATAGCTTTCCTTTCTGTGGATAAATAAGCCAATTAATTTGTATTTTAATACCCGTAAGATAAATATTTCTCTAGTCGGTAGGTATGATTTAAGGTGAGACATGTGCGAGCTGTTAAAATCCCATTATACCAACAAGTTTAGACTACAAACAACTTAAAGAAATTCACAGTTAAATCTATATCTGGATGGATCCTATCTTTTTAAGTTTTAGATAAGCTATCTTATCAACATTAATTTCAGTTACATGACATTTTCTGCATTACAGTCTGTTGACAAAATTAAGGCGGTTTAAGGTGAAGGTGTCCTGGGTTCCCCCACTACTTTTTTAGCTTAATGTAAATTTTTCATTATGCCTCCAATAATTTCTAGCTGATCAGCTTTTGCCTGACTTTTTGAAAGGGTGAGGTGGCCTGATGGAATTGCTTTCCCTCAAACCGCCTAAATTTTGTAGACGGAATATAGTGCATACTGAAACATCTGAACATATGTTACAGTAGTACTAACTACCACACCGTATCTTTTATTTGGACTAAACATGTTAAAATATCAGTGCAATATACCAGTTATTAGTTAAACTCATACTGATTCTGAAGAGGTACATTGTCTGGACGTACTTTTGTTTTTATTATATTGTGTGTTTCATTTGGTCACACCACAAAGTGTAACATTTCTTACAGGTTTGGTGATAAGATTTTTGGTTAAAGTTTGTGGTTGTTAAATTAATTGTACTTTCAGGAGTTAGCTAAAACTTCATGTTTCCAACTATTAATTATTCCCTTGACACATTGATGGTTTTGATTATGAGGCAATAAAATGTGGGTTGAAAAAACTGTGATGGAAATAATTTTTAGGACTCCAAAGCCTAGACGAGATATTTGTTGGATAATGAAACATGGAAGAAGATGATTTTATTTCACTACAGAAAAAAATAATACACACAAGGATTTTTAGGATTCATAAAAGTTGTGTCTTAAGTCGGATTAAGTACATGATTCTTTAAGTGTCTATGAAGCAGAAGTTTTTTAAAAAACTTTATCGGAAGTTGAAAAAAAAATCAAAGAGAAGATATTGTACCTTATAAAACAAGTTTGAGACTAGTAAAGCCCAATTTTGGCTTTAAGGAAGATACTTGAGAAGGAATAAAGCTAACAACATCATATTTTGGATTTCTTTTAAATGCAGAATTCAAGAATGTTAATGAAATCATTTACCTCACAATGTTTAAAAGAAAACAGGAGATGTCCTAATTTGTGAGATGGATGTTAAAAAAAATTGCGAGAATCTTGAATATCATGGTAAATAATACTGAATTCCAACCAATAATATTCAGATTAGACTAGTAATATTTAAGGTACGCCAAAGGTATGTTTTTTTTTTTTTTTTTCAAAACTAATAAACGTTTCTTAATTCTAGATTAAACTGCTTCCTCTGAACTTGTAATTTTTAAGAGGTTAAATTGATCCAAACCATAAAATGTTTAGTGAATGAAACTTTATAATGCCTGTTAGGTGAACTGTTGTTTAGCATTTATTTGTGTTGTCAATTTAGGGACAGCAGATAAAATGATTTTGAATGTCATTGTTTAAAAAAAGTTTGGAAATAGTCTGTCTAAAGAGGAGAAAGCAGTTTATAGACAAGAGTATGTAAAAATGATTAATTTAGTTGTGGTGTTGTTTTGAGTAGGTGCTTAATTGATTTGGCTGTTCACTGTTCAGGTTACCTCAGGAAGGCAAGAGTGAGCCGTTTGAAGAGATGTTAGAGAAGACAGTTGGATTTCACAACCCCAGCAATGTCAGCTGTCTGGCCAGTGTTATGGGATTGGGGAATCTTCACCACACCAATATTCTAGCCCTCAAGTAAGTTTTTGCTCATTTTACGTTAAATGCACAAACAATATTTTTTTTTATTCCGTTACTTCTCCACGAGGTTAGGTTAGCTGGTAAGTCATTAAGGGACTAGGCTTGTATTGGTTGTGTGTTTAGTTTCCAAGCCACAATACTATTCTGTGGTTGTACAATCTCTGTTTGAAAGAAGAAAATATTGTCCTTAAATTCTGAACAAAACGGTCCAACTCCCATTGCTGTACAAGCAAATTACAGTACGGTTTAAAATTTATTGTAACTTTCCCCATATATACCCAAAAAATAACGGAAAATCGGATTTAAAAAAAATTATTTTGAATACAATTTTTTATGGTTCTTATTTTAAACAAAATAGTGCAACCTCCCATTGCTGTAAAAATTACGGTTCTAAAGTAATTTCAACCTTTGTGATTTTTCTTATAAAATATCATAGTTTGACAAGCTAATGGGAGAAAGTATGTGTTAGATTGCTGATACTGTTTATTTTTACTAATGGTGGCGGAAAATGTCTTCAATAACATGCTAGATTTAAAAAATCTTCTAATTTTTACACTAGTGAGGATTAATACATTTTTAGTTTTAACAAAAGCATGTTCTCAAAGTGTTCTAGTAAGAAGTGTACTTCCCTTTTTAATATATAGTAAAGTGTAATTTTTTAATATATGAGTAGTGATGTGGGTCGGGTAAATACCCAGTGGGTAGGTAAATATAAATTAGGTATTTACCCGGGTTTTTACCCCAGGCCCGGGTAAATACCCAAAAACTGGGTATTTATAATTTTTATTAAAGTTAGAGAAGATTTAGATGTTGTTTTGCAATTATTACCCTGTAAGGATAGTAAAATGATGATAAAATGTGTTAAACAAAATTTCATATGGTCACTACTAGCATTTTACTTATGGGTATAATCGCCATAAATACCCAGGTCTGAGCATAAAGCATTATCGGCATAATACCCTGGTCGCATGGTTGCACTAGTCCTGACTCCTTATGATTTTGTAATTTCTATGATAGATAAATGAATTTATTTTATTGGAAGTAAAGAAAAATAATTTGTAAAGTAATAATTATTATTTAGAAAGAATGACAGGAAGATTTAACCTAGTAGTGGCCTATGTGTAAACAACTTATGAAAATAATTAAAATTCAATCTGTAGGATATGGCAGGATTTAATAATATTTTTGTTCTAGATCTTTTGTTGGTATCAATGGTATCAAAATAAAAAAAAACTAATTTCATAAACTTGTGATACAAAACATTTGAATCTATAGCACAATAAATCTTTCAAAATTATATTAAGTTAGACCAAAAAACAGGAGTTACATTTTTTTAGTAGGTTTATCCAAATATATTTTTGTTTCCAACTAAGCGGTAACACAGAAAAGTTTAATTACTATTAGTATTCTGCCATTCTGCCTATGTCAATCAGGCTTAGGTCTGTCTAGCCTTCCAAGCCATTTATACAATAGAAATTTTAACTATCATAATTAAATAACAGTAAAAGTAGGTTTAGGTTCACTATTTCTCTGATGAGGTGTTGTCTTGATTTCATTTCATAGGGAGTGTTTAGTTTCTAGCATTCTCAATCAAAGGTAGCATCACAGGCTTGTTTTATTACTGCACACCTGCACACCCAGCCTGTTTATGTTATGGTTATAAATTTATAAAATGATAAAAATTGAAATAGCCACAGCCTTTTTTAATATCCTATTTTTTATTATGTTAAATTTAACTGATGTTACTCGATTTAAGACACGAAACCCCATGCTTATTAAGAAACTTTATGTATTATTTACAAAAAAAGTGTAAATCATTAAATAAAAGGTACTATCAAAGCTTCAAGTTACTGTAAAAGGTGTTATAGGCTATCCTAATTTATCATGTAGTGATAACAATAACATATTTAGGGGTAAATATAAACGAATTTAAATTGATTTCATAAATACCCAAAATACCCGGGTATTTATGGATTTTGGGTATTTACCCGGGTAAATACCCAGGGTATTTACCCCGAGTTTTAAATACCCAGGTATTTTACATCACTATATATGAGACTTATTATATTTGTCTTCACAGAGGACGTTTTCCCGAGACGGAGTATGCGACAGAGCTGCGTAACGTACAGGCAGCCAAGTGGGCGTTCCGTAGTGTCGCTGATGGCATAGAACACTTCAAGTCTGGTCGCATGACTGAGGCGTTCCAGTGTCTTAACAAGGCCTTGAGCATTGACGCCAACAACATAGAAGGCTTGGTCGCACGTGGAGCTTTGTAAGTGAATAGTGTTATCCTAGTTAGACATCCCATCTATATGGAGCAGATGCAGAAAATGTGATCAAAGTATGCTATTGTGTTTTTTCTTTTAGTTTTTATTACAGTAAAACCCCAATCAACCTAAATAAAGTTTGGAGGTCATTTCGGTTGCTTAATCAGTGGTTGGAATGCAAAGGCTAGTTTAGCAAGATCCACAAAGTTTACTTTTTATGTGCTTTTTTCATTACTGTCATCTTAAAATCTACAACTGTAAACAAAATGAAATAATCTTTTTTGAAAATAATCCTTTTTGTTGTTTTCTGAACCTTATTTCTATTATAGTATATCTATATCATTGTCTGCTCCATTACATTCTGTTGGAAATGCCGAACCAACGGTTAGTAATGGTGCGGGTAGCGCCACGTCAGACAATTCAAATTTCTTAGCTGATTTTCCAACTGTTTTGAATTTCATTATAATTTTGGGGTGACAGCGAGCGGTTTAAAGGAGTTTGAATGTACAGTAGATCCCCTCTTAACCATCCCTAACGGGACCCGATCTAGATTGGATAATTCAAAAGGTCAGTTAAAAGGGGCAATTCCTAAAAACTAAAAAAATAAGTGCTATTCATTTGGAATGATCTAATTACTATTCTTTCTTAAGTATTGTCAATTGAAAAGTCAGAAATAAACCCAAAGCACGTCAAAGTTATATTTTCAGTGAAATAAATTAAATAGTCGGAGGCAAGAGTCAGTAAAAATTATGTCTTTAATGCTACCTTTAGAAGGCTTTCCAAATCCATCGTAATACAGTACAGAACCTACTGTCGAACTAAGAGATTCAAGCAACCGTTTCTTTGCGAGACAGGATGTTTATTAATAGCCTGTAACATCCTGTAGAGTTTAGAGTATTGTTCCCATCTCCAAGCAAGGGAGCGGGAATGCCAAGTCAAAAAAACTCTCAAAACTAGGTCGGTTAAAAAAAACTGTAATATTTTTATCACTTAATTTCTTTATAGAGATTTCTAAAAAAAAAAAAAAAAAAAAAATACAATAGTGTTGTTGATACGAGCAAGGGCGGATAATCCAATTCAGTTAATGTGATGTCGGTTAAGAGGAGGTCATTATTGTACTTTGATGACACATGAAATATGCTGCAGTTCGCAGTAAGTTGTCCTTTCAGATGCTTAACAAGCCAGAAAATGCAGCGTTGCCTTAATATTCTTTGTGAATACATCCCTCTGACATGGTATCGTATATTATTTTTCCAGATATGCCAATGGTGGAAGTTTTAAGAAAGCAATCGACGATTTTGAGATTGCCTTGAAATTGAACCCTACTCACGTGAACGCAAGGAAATACATGGGAGAGACACTAGTGGCTTATGGAAGGAAGTAAGTACAAAAATAATCTAGGGATGTTTCGAATCCAAATCTCGAATCCACCGAATCCTAAGAAAAGATTCGGATTCAAGACTCAATTAACGAGATTCGAGAATATTTTTTTTTTATAGAATTATAAGTAGCATGTAAGCATGTACTGTGACGGTTCCTATTCCATTCTTGCTTTTTTAATCACCATAAGCACATTTTAGCGAATTTCCCTATAGGGAAGTAGCTATTACCGTAGGTGGCACGGTAAGACCTAGACCCGGGACCGATTTACTTTTTCATTTTGGTGTCCCCAGAGGCCAAAAACACCATTCGTTCAAATTTTTATATATGTATATATATATATATATAGACTTATATATATATATATATATATATATATACGTCCGTGAACGCGATAACTTGAGTAATTTTTGTCCGATTTTGATGAAATTTGGTTTAAAGGTGTAAAGCGGGATAAACTTGAATGAGTTCGCGAACCAGCACGATCGGACCATGGGAACGGGGCTTTACGGGGGGTTTTATGGGGTAAAAATTGGTTTTTCTCACTTTTGACCCTCAAAACACAAAATTTCCCGATTTCTCTTTAGACCTTTTTAAAGAGCTTAAAAAAACAAATAATTTAGTATATAAAAGTATTTTTGTTTGATTATTAGTAACGGAGAAAATTAAAAAAAATTGTAAATTTAAAATTCCCATGTTATTCTTATGGAGAATATTGTCAAATGTTGTAGTTTGCTTGTTTATGGATATATTTTGATCAAACTTGGCAAATTTATTTATTTTGTACTAAGCTCAAGAATCAAGAATCAAGATCTTTATTGTCATTGACCTTTTACAAGGAATAGACATAGTCAACAATAAATAAAAACTAAAGCTATAAAATACAGTGGGTTCTAAATTAAAAATTAATATTAACATCAGAAACTAAGTACTCTGTTATACAGTAAAATGGATTTTGGATGAGCCACTCAAACATTTTAGACTTAAACCTATTAAAAGGAACCTGTTTTGCTGTCAGACCTAATTTATTAAAAAACCGTATGCAATTTATTTTATGGCAGTTATCTGTTTTGGCCAATCTATGTGCAGGGATATCTAGATTGGATTTGCCTCTTGTATTGTAAGAGTGTATACTCTCTCTACAAGTGAATTGATGAAGATTGGCTTTAGTGTAGAGGAGTATGTGAAAAATATACAAATTTACAACGGTCATAATTTTAAGGTCTATAAAAAGAAGTCGACAGCTATCCACAGGGCCAGCCCCACAAATTGTTCGTATGACTTTTTTTTGTAATAAAAGAATTTCATGGGTGTGGGGGGAGTGTCCCCATAGTATAATCCCGTAAGAAATATGAGATTGAAAAAAACCAAAATAAGTAATCCGAAGGTATTCATTACTAACAAAATCTCTGAGTTTCCAAATTAGATAATTTACTCTGGAAATTTTTTTACAAGTGATTTCTATGTGCTCTTGCCAATTTAATTTTGAACCAATTTGGAAGCCTAATAATTTTACAGATTTTAATTCATTGTCAAGTGGGGATAGACTCAAAAGAATTTTCTGTGTTTTTTCTTGATTACATGTCAATTTATTTGAAGAAAACCAATTTAGTGCTGATGTTATTGATTCATTAGTAATTAAATCAAGCTCATGGATATCAAATAGCTAGCTCATAGCTATCAATATTTTACTCAAAAACACACTTTATTAGTTTCCTTGTAGCAGCAAACCTAGGTACTCGTTAAACCTAATGTTATTAAAATATATTTAACTGAAAATCAATTCAGACAAATGGAAATTCGCTTAGTCGGCAGGTTTGCTGCGGCGGGGGTATTTAATTATTTTTGGGACTCAAGATTTGATTTTTTTAGGATTCAGATTTGAGATTCGAAATTTGAAATTCCTGGATTCGGCCATCACTAAAATCTATATATTAATAGGAAAGCATGTTTCTTTAAAACCTTTTTTCTCAGCTCGTGTGCATCGCAGGGGAAATCTACGCATACTGTTGGAAAGATATTTTCCTGTAGATGTGCAGAATGCCTTTATAAGTTAAAATAGGCTCAAAAATAAGCACAGAAAATGAATTTAAAATTTTGAAAAAATTTACATGGATCTTATGGGTTGCCATGCTGGTAACGAAATAACAACAAAATATAAACAGAAAATAAAAACGAATGGAAGAAACACCAATAGCATGTTTTATTCAAAGTGTGGTGTAAAAATAGAGAAGTCTCTACATTGCATATTTTTGGTCGAGTTTCGACCACTGGACGGCCTCTAGTAATCATTAAAATAAAATATTTCACATGAAAGGCTTCTAGGTAAGGTTTTTCTGGCTCGAGATTATATTTCAATTTATCTATCTAAAATGTTTTTTTTTTTTTTTTTTACACTGTGATAACTAAACAAATTCTGCAATAATTGCATCTTTGATTTTAGCAGCATTTATTTGGAAATAATTTTTTAAATACTCGTAACATAGGATTTTATGGCCTATGTTTTAAACTAACTTTTCATTTATATTTTTGATTTTTTGGACGTTACACCTGGCCTTACTAGAGACTTAACTTTAGAAAACCAACCATTCGACCTCTTGTTACAGCAATCTGTCGAAACAATAGCAGGGTGTCCATCCAACTGGGAATTGTAGGGCCTATGTAAATTTTGATGACTGGGAAAAAAATCTTTGCATTGTACATGAATTTTACAAAGAACCAAGAAATTTAAATGTTTTAAATAATAGCCGATTTTTCTCGTTCCACGTAGTTTAAAATCACCATCGTGAGAAACTAACACGAATATCAGACGTTACCGCAATCACAAGAAATGATCATGGCCATTTCTGCGATCCCAGGAAATCATCACGGATTCTCTCGCAATTGAAAGATAATCCCAGATGTGGCTGAGATCACAAAAAATAGTCAATGGAATTGTCCTTGATTCAAATTTTGATGGAATGATAAACACTATGGGCAAGTTTTTTCCTGGAAATTTTGAACTTTTAACCTGGAAAAACTGGAATTGTCCTTGAATTTTATTTTGATGGGATGCTGAACACCCTGAATAGTAAAAATTGTCAAGGGGCAGAATAAATCAGTCTTTAGATTAATGTTTGCTACAATTAAACTTTTCACATAAAATTTATTTTTCATTAACAGAAAGTTTTAAATAATTTGCCAAATCTTAACTATAATACCTCAATTCTTCTATAATGTGCATGAAGATAGTTCTTTGACAACTTAAGAGAACAAGTGGGACACTTTGGGAAAAAAGGTGTTTAAGGAAAGTAAATATGGGCAATGGGAGAGACAACAGGGGAAATTTAAGACCTGCATGAAGCTCCAGACATCGTAGCTGAACATTGAGGACATTGATTGAACATTGATGTAATCAGAAGAACTTTTGGGGTTTTGAAAAAGCAAGTGAATGGTGAAAACCCAGAAGAAAAAGACCTCTCCCAAAAAAAAGATCAATATGAGAGTTAGTGAAGACATGGAGGCAAGATTGAGGCCAAATACACCTCTGGTATGAATAACCATAAGTAAGTAAATAATTCTTTGTCTGTCTTTTCACAGTTACGAAGACTCAGGTCAGACAGAGGAAGCTCTGAAGTTGTACGAGAGGTGTTTGGAGATTGTGCCTTACCACGAGGAAGCACAAAACTCCATTGAGTACATCCGAGTGAAGATGGCCAACGGTTCAACCTCGCTGACAGATGGACTCGTACCTTCATTGACCTCTAAGACTCAGGGGGTCAAGGACACCTTGAAACAGCTGCTGGGCAACGAGACTGCCACCAAGGAGGAAGGGACTAGCTCTGCTAAGAAGAAGAAGAAGGAGAAAAAGTATGTTAAAATTATCAGCAATAGAAAAGCCTACCAGAAAATGGGTCTAAACTTTTTTTAAAGTTAGTCCAACAAATGTACAACATGCAAGGCAACCGTTTAAAACAAAAATACTCACTGTTGAATGTGCTCTCAGAGTGTGCTACCGAAAAAATTATATTTTCTCCCTAAGCTTTTAATACTATCTTTTGGATTGGAACTAGACATCCCATTTAGTTTTTAAAATAAAAAGTAACATAGTTTAAATCAAAACCAGAACAAAAACTCTATAACTGAAAAGAAGTTGAAAGTTCCTACAAATTCTATGTTTCTTGTGTTTATATTTTTTTCTACTGTTTTTGTGAATAGGGTAAGCCGATTATTTAGGCAAGGTTAGTGAATGTTAAATAGTCTTTCTGAGTCAAGGTGCTTAAACCAAGTATAACTGTTCTGAACCTTCATGGTAGTTCATAATTTGTTATAGTTTTGAATAAAGTATGTTCGAAGAACCATTCATTAACTTTTTAATATTTTGAAGGCATCCAACAACTGAAATTCTAAGGTGTATGAATCACCCATCTACATGTTTGCAAACGTTAATATTTATTTTTAGATCAAAAAAACACAAACGCCACTCATCATCCAGTAGCAGTTCGTCTTCTGGAAGCTCAAGTTCCTCTTCTTCATCATCATCCTCCTCTGATACCAGTTCTGCATCTTCTAATGATTTCCACGGCAAGAAAAAGCATAAGAGGTAGTCAACAACATACTTATTAATAAAAGTTGTATCTTATTTATGTTTAAATGGGTGTACTAATTCGATAAGAGTTTTTCCTTACATATTTTCAGACTACTTTTTATCCAGTTTCAAAGAGTTGTTTAGCCTCCGGATTTCTGTATTGTAAATGGTTTACCATACCAGCATACAGTAATCCTTTGTTGCTGTTTTGGCAACTAGTTTCGGTTCTTCTGAACCATCATCAGGCCTCAATGTGTCAAGTAATCACTTCATTTGAAGGTTGTTCAATAAATATAACATTTTTGTGTCTCGTATATGTTTTATTTATCGACCTCTGTTAACAACCTTCAAAAGAAAGGATCACCTGACACCTTGAGGCCTGATGATGATTCAGAAGAACCCAAACTAGTTGCCAAAACAGAAGTTTAAAAAATGGCATTTTATTGTTTCAAACGTACTTGACCTTAAAAACAAAAAACCATTGACTGCAAAAAATGGTACGATGAGAACCATGTGTTGCCATACATAGATTAAACAGGTAGTACAATAGCTGCTATAGTTTTTACCAAACTTATACGTAATTAAATAGATTGTGTTGTTTGCTTTTTCTGACCTATGAAGAATTTTTGTAGTTGATAATTTCATTTCGCTCATCATGAGCAAAATTTTAAAAGCTTGAGTAGAAATTTAGCAAATGTATTCATGATTACAGCAGGAAGAGTGAGCCAAAGGAGAAATCACTGTCACCACTAAGCAAAAGGATGGCAATTATGGACTCTTCTGCTACATCCGAAACTGATGGTGAGATTATTTTCTACTTTTATTTCAAATATTGAGAGTATTTTTTTTAATGTACTAAGATCAAGTAAACACTTTACATGCAGCATGTTTGTTACTTTGACAGTTTTGGGTAGACAAAATACCGAAATACTGAGTGCTGGCTAAAAAAAGCTATGGCTAATAAAAATGGGTTTGGCTATTTCAAGAATCAATACCTGCACTTTATGTGGATTTCACTTATTATTTATTGGTGGTACGTTAAAAATCTGGCATTAAATCTTAATCACTTTAAGTTGTTTATTTAATCCACTTTGTATTTTCAGGACAAAGAGGATCTCATTACAACCCTCCTGCCTTGCCATATTCTTTCTCAGGTGAGTTGAATAATTGTTTGTCTTTCCGTTATTTTTATTTGCATTTGCAATGAACAATCTGTACTGGTGTTATCCCTTAAGACAGGCCTATATTAAAATTGATAAATCTGTGTAATCACTGCACAAATTTACCTTCAAAACACACAGCCTGAGAAATATTCCTGTCAGTTTTAAAAATATCTACATTAACTTACTTACTTGCACTTTTTCCAGGGTGTCCACCGACCTGGGAAAACAAGGATAGTCGGGAATAGTGTGTGAATTTTGTATTTTACCGGAAATGTTCAATTTGCTGTGATTGTTCATGAAGATGACGTTTCCGTGACCGCGGGAGACGATAATGATGTGAAAATGGCCGCTTGATTTGTTGTGATTTTTCCGCGATCGCGCATGACGACAATGGCGTTTCCGAGACAGCGGGAGATTACGATGACGTTTCTGTGATAGCGGGAGACGATGATGATGATGTCCATACTCCAAATGGCCATGGGATTTTTTAGTGGTTTTGCTGCGATCACGCATGTCAACGATGGCGTATCCGTGACCGCGGGAGACGATGATGAGGTTTATGTGACAACGGGAAACAATGACCGCAGGAAATAATTAGAATTAAGCTACGAACGAGGAAGATGATAACTTTTCTGTGATCGCGGGAGACAATTATAATGTTTCCGTTACCGCTGAACAATATCAAGATTTTGTCACGACCACGGAAGACATTGGTGATGTTTCCGTTACTGAGGGAGTTATTCAGGATTTTGCAGTTATCATGGGAAACGATGATGGTGTCTCACAAATATAACCTTGAGTTTGGGCTGGACCGAAAATTTCAAAATGGTACTCACTTCTAGAAAGTTTTATTTTATATTTTTTGTAATATCTTCACACTTACCTTTAACGTGGTATTAATATATCGTGATTAGAAGGGTTTAAAACTTCAATTGGCTATGTGAAATTTCTGCATCAATTATTTCTGTAGGCCACTTCAAAAACAACCCATAACTCCAAAATTACATACTTTTTGAAAGTAGGCTAAATAAAGACAGTAGTAATCCTTACAGAAACTAAGGTTCAATAAAAATTATCAGTATTAAGAATCTATTTTTCAGGTGTCCGTACGGAGATTCCATAAATTTTGTTATCGACATATCACAATTTTTAAGAAGTTATTGATAAATTGCAGGTTTAAGGATTTATTTTTAATTTTCGGATTACTTCACTAATATATAAAAATTGCATACTTGTGTCTGGCAATATTACAGTAATCATAAATTTTGTTTCTTTAACTAAGAATGCTTTTTCCTATAACTTGAATAGCGAACTGTGTTAGCGCTAAAACAGGATTGCGGGAGCTGGTGCAAAAACGCAAAAACCTCGCTAACGTTGGAAAGTTTAGTATAAAAAGTACGACCTGAACTACCTGGAAGTACTCATGAATTTTTTTCTGGTTGGTCTGGTGGACACCCTGTTATCTTTTTTAGTGCTCTCAACATTTTAAATAAAATAGCCATCTTTACCAGATTTTTTTTATTCTTGTAGTGCTATTGATTGTTATAGTATTAATCTGAGTTAAATTATGTATTCCTATTTTGTTGGACGGATTATAAAATAAAAGAAATACTGTTTTTATTAGCTGATCCAGCAGCTGCTGCTATGGTTTACGCCTCTTCTGGGAAGACGGACAAAGAGTCGGAATATGAACAACGAGTTTGTAAATTCCTGGAACAGACAAAAGGTGATTCTGACTACGAGGAGAAAGTACGCAAGTTCCTTGATGAAACTGCAAAATGGTGAGCTACTTATAAAATGTGGGTCTTGTGAGGGTTGTGCATCTTTGTTCAAAAATTCACCTACCCATCAAGTATAATCATTTTGTTAGATGGAGCATGATATTCCTAAGTAGTATTACAGTAGAACCTCTCTAAAAATGTAATATCTGTTCCTACTCTTGAGTATTGATCTATTTTTTTCTTAATAGGCCTAAACAATTAATGGTACATATAAAGACTAAAATATCTCAACTTGGGTTCGTGGTTTGTTTTCAGGAAAAAAGAACGCAAAGCCATAGAAGAAAAGGCTAAAAAGAAGCGCAAGAAAGAGAAGAAAGCAAGGAGCAAGAGTGAGTAATTTAGTCATGTCAATCTTATGGTTCAAGTAAGATCATTCTTTAAGTCAAACAAAAAAATACAAGTTTTGGGAATAAAACAAGTAGTCTACATTTAATAAAAGGTTATGACAGGAATTCACCCTTTATCCAGGAATACAATGCTAAAATTGATGATTATAATATATCCATATTATTTTTTCCAGTTGTTATGAACACTTTTCTAATTTTTGATTAACTGCATTCGAGTCTGATGGAGTACTAATAGAATTCACTGCCACCAAAACATTTTATTTTGCAAGATCTTCACCACACCGGTGTTTGGTCTCTGATTCTTCAAAACTACTGCTGTTACAACGCAGCAGAAAATGTGTTATCAGTTTCAGAATCACTTGATTTAATATATTAAAAAGGTTCAAATACCTGCTATCAAGCAATCCATTTAATTGCAGTTGCTGCTTGATAGCAGGTATTTAAACCTTTTTAATATTATTTGGCAATCCGGAGGCTACATCCACAATGATTTAATATAGTCGTGCAGTCTTGTAATCATGATTATAAGAAAAAATCTCTTCTGGAAAATAAGTGTATCCCTTATCCAAATCAACAATACTAATAACCCACTTGTTATTAGAATTAGGCTAGTTATAAGTAGCACTTTGGCACATTAAATTTACAACTCTTGAAATACTTAATTTCAGGCAAGAAGAAGAAGCGTGATGAACGTAAAAAGAAGAAAATGATGAAAGAAATAGAAGAGAAGAAATTACGTGATGCCTTGCGAAAACAAAGGCGAAGAAGCAACTTAGAAGATGATGATGAATTCCTGTATGGTGAAAAAGATTTAAGGTAATAACAACCACAAACTTTCTTTTATGAAAAAAGTTAAAATATTGTTACCCTTGGGCCTTCTTAAATGTTTTAAATTATTCAGTAACTAAGTTAAAATTTGAAAGGATTTAGTTGTTTAATATTTAAGATAGTCTGTTTGTCATTAACTGGAATTTGTTATTGTTTTAGGTTAAGTCTACCTGACTTGGAAGATTTACAAAGCAAGCTCAGTTATTACGTCAAAGTTGAGAAAGGAAATTCATCAAAAAAGTGAGTATCATAAATGTAGAAAAATTGATAAATATTATGAGCTTTCTCTTTCTCGTTGTGGCAAAATATTTACCTCAATTATTAACCCAATCGTAGGAAATAATTAGAGTTGACATGATCGTTGTAGATGATCACAGATATCCGTCATTGATGTTGCAACGATCACGGGAATCATCGCGGACTTTGTCGCGATCACGGCAATCATCACGTATGTTGCCATGATCGCAAGAAATCATCACAGGGTTGCCGCAATCGCTGAAAGTTATCACGGATATTGTCATGCAGGATATCAACACAAATTTTGCCTTGACCGAAAAATAAGATTATTGATTGATAAGATGATTGATATTGCTGTGATTGCAATAAATTATCTTGGAACTACACCAAAGGGGTTTTAAATGTACCTGCAGGGTGTAAATAAACAAAAGCTGTGCTTATTTGGGCGCCAAGTTTTGCCCTGGAAATTTTGAACCTGGAAACCCTGGAATTGTCCTTGAATTATATTTTGATGGAACGCTGGATACCCTGAAATAGCTATTATTAATTTAGCGGGAATACCGATAAAAAGAGTCGAAAGTGTTACCAACCGGATGTATCAGGCTAATTGTTCAAGTTGTCAGAATACTTATTCAATATTAAACAAACTTTTAGACCTATGCTCGTTTGGTGAGGTTTTACAGTAACAGAATGCGTGCATGCACCATAACTAGTGATGAGTCAGTTTATTATGTCAATTTCACCAGTTTTAGCAAAAATAAACTGAAACCGAAAATAAGTGGAAATAGTCAGTTTTTGTTTATCAGTTGCAAGCAATAATTCCACTGCGACAATAATGAAGTCTCTGTGATCACAGGAGGTGCTCTCAATTTCACCAAGATCAAGAGATTTCGGGATGATGTTTTCGAGATTGAGGGAGATGCTCTCGATTTTGTCACTTTTGTGGGTGTTAATTACGATAGTTCCATGATCATGCAGGTTTATTGTCTTGATGACATTAGACTATAATAAATGCACAATACACCAACTTTATGATTGCTAAAGGTAATACTGTTTTTCTACTGGAAAACCAAACTTAAAATATGTATTAAAACATTACATAGCTAACTGACATATCACTGGTCCTACTCCTAATAGCTTAACTTGAAGAGGAAACCACCATTATATGTCATTTAATTCACGAAATGTAGGCTACCATTGTTTCAATATCACTGTTCTCTCCCCAGGAAAGAGAAGAGCAGCAGTGTAGAGAAGCTAGTTGCAGCTGCTCAAGCTAAGAAAGCAGCTTCTCCCAAAGGGGTCCTACTATTGGAAGAGGAACTGAGGGAAGAGGCTAGGCAGAGGAAACTGGGTTAGAATCCTATCTAATTTACTTATTACAATCATTATAAAATAGTTGCTTAAGTTACCCAACTGCTCTCGAACACCAAACAAGGTGAAACCTGTTCAGAAACTATTTAAACAGGAAAATACTTATTTTTCCCAAATTATAGTATATTTTTTGTGTTTATAATTCACTATGAGCTAAGGTTGAGTTGGTACTATTTTGTCATGTTTTCCTATGTTTTCATCATAAACTCTTCAAATATGTATTTGTTGTAAAATTTAGGTAGAACTAGCTGTGTACCCGTTCTACGCACGGGGATCTTATAGTAATCAGTTGAAACCTTCTTATATAAAGAACAGCAGTTGGTTTGCATATTTTCAGATATGCTGGCCAAACTATTTATTATACATTTAACTTCATTTTATGTCGTTATAGTAATCAGTTGAAACCTTCTTATATAAAGAACAGCAGTTGGTTTGCATATTTTCAGATATGCTGGCCAAACTATTTATTATACATTTAACTTCATTTTATGTCGTTTGTTGTTGTTCCGGATCGGTATGACAATCAATAAAAGGATAAATTACCTGTGTCCGCTGGTCGATCCTAATGTATCCTATTACAGGAGATGCATTTCGGCGAAATTAAATCGCCATCATCAGTCCTAATATAAGGTCTTGAGCTTCCCCATTAGGTGCGTCTTGGAGTTTTTGAAACACATACACAAACTGTACACTTATACACATGACGAATAAAACATAAATACACAGTAGGCCTACTTTTATTTTTACTATGGACAAGTAGACGCGCGTCGGTCGTGTGCCGAGTCTCGACTGAAAACGCTCATTTAAAAAATGTAAGTTTCCCAGCAATATACAACACTGATTCAAGGTCTATTTCCCGGTTATCAAAACTCAAGAACAATTTTATACACAAATAATCTCTATTTTCATTTACTGTTACCCTACATATTATTGCACTTGCGATTAATTAAATCCGTTATGTAAGGAAAAACGTTTTTAATCTTAATTGGTTTGGATTTGCTTTCAAAACGTGATCGGAAATGGTTGCGGTATTTGTAAACAACATTCAATGTAAACATATCAGTGACAGCTAGAAGAAATAATCTTGATTTGAACAGCTGTTCATTATTTCATAGAAGAATATGTGCTAAACATTGGGAAAAACTTTACAAAAATCGCACAAAATTGGGTTTTTAAACGTCCGTCATGTTATTTACAAAGTGGTGACGCCATATTTTAATGGCTAAAGACAATCTCGCCAATCCAGTGAATACATTAAAATGATTTGGAACTTGATAGGTAATCTCGTTTTTCAGGAGTAGGCCGCGTAAAATGGCTCTTGGGTCGTAACAGACTGGAAGACAGACAGAAATTTAGATGAGACTTGTTTCGGTTTCTCTAATGTATAAAACGTAAAAATAACCTAAAAGTTTATGATTCTAAGCAATGTACAGACAAAACTCTAATTTTATTTATATAGACTACTCGATTATTTCTATTTGATGCTTCATTCTTAAGTTAGGGGACCAAGCCCAGGACTGAAATTAAAAACTCTTACAAATCATGGTATCAAATACACACTACAAGTCAAAAGCACTACAATATATAAACATCTGTTGGGCAGATCCATTTATTGTTAAATAACACTTCTCACCTATTCCTAACATTGCCAATCACCTAATTTTTACAATTTTACTCCATTTTATTGCACTGGCTATAAGTATTAAATTTTTTCCCAAGATTTTGATCTAGAATTATGTGATTAAAATGAAACCTAGTTATATAAAACTTCTTGTTTTAACAGAGAAGAAGAAACTTGACATATTTGAAGACTCCCCCCCTCAAATAAGACCTCCTGAAGCTAAAAATGTTCCGTTACCATCTGGGGCCCCTCCACCTTCGAGCAAGTTCAAGATGCAGATTGGCTCAGCTCAAAATCGGTAAGGTTCTATTACTTTGTCAAAAAATGTTTTTTTTTTGGCATGTGGCAAAGTTGGTCTTGGTAAACTAAGGGATAGCTCTAAACCTTGTCCGAATACAAAATTGATGGAATCTCTGTGTTTTCTTTATCTCTTTCTAGATGTACGTGAATTGAATAGTATAACTTGCAACACATATTTTAGTAAATATAGCATTTATAGGTAGACATTAGTTATGCCAACTGTCAACAGCCAACTGAGAAGAATTCAACCAGAAATTTGCTTAGTCTGAAGATATTCTTCAGTGGGGTTTAGGTCTAAAGAAACTATTTAAGGGCCTGTTGGGATTTTTTTATATAATTTATTATTTGAGCTTTTTAAAGTTTTTCTCAATTTTTTTATATTCTAGCCTATAAAAATAGTTTTCCCCAGAATAAAAATTATTTATCAACAGTTAAAAAAACAACTATTGTATCACATTTTTAGTCAGACCTGCGAAATAATTCCTTCCAGGGTTTTCACTTATAAAAGAACACAAACGAGAAAAACGAAACAAACTTTTTATAAACTCACTAATAAAAGCCCATCTCCTGCAAAGTCATTTAAAATAAAAGCACCCTCCTGCTAGCATAATGAAGTAATACATTTGCATTTTTAGGCTTACATGTTGAAATAGTTATGCTTCATCATTCATTTTGTCATTAACATTCACAAAACACACAAGTAGAAACATTAGTATGGTGTAAACATTAATTCCTAATCTTTACACTGAAGACTGAAGAAACGAGGCGATAAAACTGAGGAGAAAGATACTTGGGATGAAGTGGGAGAAAAGAGGTTCATTTACATGAGCGAGACAATCACACCAAGCAAAGAGAAAGAGACCAAAACACTTCCAGATAAGAAAAAAGAGGTTGAAGAACAGTTGGCTAAGGCTCCGATGATCCTGGATAAGTTGGGAGGGTAAGAAGTGTTTCTTGCATTTGCTACACTTTTATTTATGTTACGCTAAATTAATTTGATAGAATATGTTGACAAGAAATAAATAATCACGATATTACTGCCCCGATAACATTGTGATAAATACACATAACACCAAATTCATGATTACTTAATTTAATACTGTTTGTATCAATATAAACTAGGGATGGACGAGATTGGATTTTTAGTTCGAGACGAGACGAGATTTTTTATTTCTCATAAAATTTCGAGACGAGATTTCTCTTCTCATACACAACGGGAAATGCACGTTCAAAATTTTTACCTGATTTTGTAACATTGTTAGATGACTGTTTAAATACTAAAATAATGATAATAGGCAAGAATATTTACAATCTTTCATTAAATAACATCAGCATAACATTTTTTTATTAATCACGCCTAACTTATTAAAAATGCCTACGATTAGGAAACATGGTGATATCAGTTAGGATAGAGTTCAACTTATCCTAAAATAAAATAAATCATAAAATAAAAGCAATATTAATTTGTATAAAATAGTTACTTGTTTTGACTTTTTTATAGTAATAAAACATTCCTCACACTGCTTACACTTAACAAAACTTCTCAAATGTTATTAAAGTAATATTATTAAAATAATGAAAGTAATATTTACATTAAAAGAATTAAAGTAATATTTACATTAAAAGAATTAATTAAATAAGAACGCCTTCGAAAAGGAAACGCAACTACAACACGCTCCTGTATTGCGGGTATTGCATTGACTTTCTGCAGGCGTTTTTAATTTTTTTTTGTTTTTTTTTTAATTCTCGTCTCGATAAAAATCTCGGCCAAAAAGTAATCTCGTCTCGTGTAACGAGATTGAAAATTTCCCAAAATTTCGAGACTTGACCATCCCTAATATAAACATACAACATGAATGAACATTAAATTTCATTTAGAAAAGAAGATTTGATTTGTGACCAATTCATTTGTTACATTGTGGCATTACGTCAATATCGCATAAAAGCTCGGCTCTATAAAAAATCTCAGCCTCGCACACCTGTATCCTTTACTTAATGTGATAGAAAATGTTGGCAATAATCTGTCATATAGCCTGTATATTGATGAGTTTCACCTATACAAAAATTTCACGACTTTCTTTCTGATTGTCAACTGTTAAAATAACTAAATAGCTAAATTATGACAAGTTGTCAATGAAACTTAATATAAAAAGTTGATCCAATAAACTCAATTATTCAATTATCAATCTTTGAGATGGGGACGCCACCTAGTTAAATTTAAAGTTTCACAATTTTAGGGCCTGTCGACTGGCTTTACTACATGCAAGAAGAAAATAAATATTCTATGTTTCCAAGCAATATGTATCATTCATTCCCCGCCTCTTAAGTATAAAACCTCACACTTTAGCACTATTAGTTACATCATCATAAATACCTAAATCTATTATTGGAATTAGTACAGTTTAACATAAAAATTATATTTTATAAGGCCTATAATAGTAATTGGTGTATAGTAAAATAATTATATAATAGTGCTTCTTTTCTTTGAAAATAAATTGTTATTATTTTTTTGGCCGACCCAATCTTGGGCTGAAAGATTGGTGGACCCGCAGACCCCTAATTAGATTAGATTTTTACACTGTCAATACGCTACAGTGCCTTAATTATATCAATTAAGTATGATGTAAAATATTTCTAATGCCACAGATTCCGTATAAATCCATTGGCTGCTGAGAAAAAATTAGACGACATCACACCACAGAAACGTAAGCTGCGGCCCAGAGTAAGTGAAAGTGACTCTTCAGATTCAGAGGGAGCGGCCAAGAAGAAAGAAAGGGCTGCCAGGAGTCCGGGATCTTCAAGGTAGACTAAAAGTGAAAGGCTACTGTTTGCAATTTTAAGGCATTCTATGTTAAAAGTATCAAACCGTGAATTTTATTTTTTTTCCCACAAAAAGTTAAAGGCATAGTAAAAAAGCAATAGGCCTATTAGTTGTTTTGTAAATGATATATTGAGTCAAAGCAGAGATAAATTGTTCAGTGCATTTATATGATTCATAAAATAAGAAGTCATAAATTATTTATTTATGATAAATCATAAATAATGGTTATGATTAAGCTTAAAGGATTTTTGTGAGGTTAGCAGGCTTACATAAATTAAAATTAATCTTTTTTTCACAGAAAATTAACACTCTAAACCATAGGCAAAATTCTTAAGTTGAAAATGCTGAATAAATCTAATTGTTGTGTATAGTGCAACATTTAGTGTTTATTTTGCTAGAGTATATTACCACAGCAAAACATTACTGAAAAGTCATACTCATAGTTTTTCCTATTTTTAACTGCGGGTAAGATCTAACAACTAATCATAGTGTTACGGGAATGGGAACCATCTATTGTGGGATTGAATTATTAATAACTTAATTAAGTTTGTTCCTTAGATTTCCTTCTGCTTAACATTAATTGAATCCTGAAAACATCCAAATTAAAAAAAAGGAGATTTATCAAAGAAATGTTTATTACAATTAATCCAGCCAAATGATGATGTGGATTCAAGTGTAATCCAAACCCTAACACTAATATCATAACTTGATCAATTTAATCAATTTGACTTCCTCAGGTCTCGCAGCAGGTCTCGATCACACAAGAAGTACTCGAGTGATTCACCTCCGCCTAAGAAGTATTCAAGCAGTTCATCCCGCAGTCCCTCCTATCGCAAGGACCGCAGCCGCAGCAAGTCTGGGTCTTACCGCAGTGATCGTGAACGTCGTCGTTATCGCAGCAGTGAAAGCGGCTCGTATCGTAGCAGGTGAGTTGTTGACAAAAAAATGGTATTTAAAAGAGGTTAGCGGCCACTATTTTCTTGCATTTACCCGTTCACAAGGGGCACAGTGGCCAGTGTGTAGTATGTATCCAGCAAAGCAAGGGGTGAGCCGGTTATCTTGTACCAATTGTAGCCAGTAGGCCTACCAATTGTATTAGTGAAATTGATACATGGGAGAGTTATGACTGGCTACTCAACATCATATCATGTGCACATTGAACAAAACATGGGTTCGATCCAAATAAAGGGACATGGGACTTTGTGTTCAATGTGAACAGGTAAATACAAGGTTAAAACCTCTTTAGAATAGAAATACTAAAATAATTGGAGTACTAATGCAAAGCCTTTTTTGTGAGGGTTGTAAATTAAAGTTCCTATACGCCTTTGATTTGCTCTACGAAATTAGCTACACCACAAACTCTTGAAATATTCAAATTAGTGGCAACAATTTCAAAATTCAGTTGTGAAATTATTTAGTCTAAGAAAATAAATATAGGATGGAGAGGACACAGCTAACTCACCTGATGAAAGGTTGCAGATGAGTCAAAGAACACATAAAATCACACACATTAGGTGAGTTTCATCAGGTGAGTTAGCTGTGTCCTCTCCATCCTATATTTATTTATTTAATCCAAGCTAAATGCTTTTTCCTAAAAACATTAGTCTAAGAAAGTATTTGTCAGCCGTTATTCCAACCAAATAAATTATTTTTAGATCTTACTCCAGATCCCGCAGTCGTTCACGTTCCATGGACTATCATCGACGGTCACGCAGCCGCTCAGACGACCGTCACCGCTACCACAAGTATCCTGGTCGCTATCCTCGCAACCGAGGTACTTACTACAGACCTCGCTTCCAGACTGGTTTCAAGACTAGACCTGGAGGATTCTTCCCTCGGGGCAGGTGAATAGTGCTTTTGGAATTGTTTAGTGATGTTTATAGCAGACAAGGTTTTACAAGCTTTACTTAATCTTTTTGGGCAACAACTTGTGTCTTGGTATCAGTATTTTAAGCATCAATTTAAATTTGGGTGTAAACAAATTAGTTATTGTTTATCACCATCACTGTGTGTTTTTGGCTTTGTTGGTGTTCTTGTATCTTGTTTTCCACCAGGATTCTCATTATCGAAAAACCATAATTTACAAGTAGAAGCACTCAAATGTTAACAAGATGGGTTTAATCGCCTAAAATGCAATTATTTACAAACAAATTTATATTAACTCAACGGTATTGTCATTACCCTTATGCATTCACAATTAATTTACAATTACAATAAGTTATGGCCGATGGGGTTTTTGTTTTCATCATTGATTTATATGTTAATTTTGTAAGAAAACCGTGAGCAGAATCTTGTCATTAAAAGAACATGATCACTTTTCTAATCTTTGAGATATTATGTTCTAGTAATCAGTACAAAACACAGTACAAACTGCTGTAATGTCATGTCAGTTTTGTTCCCAGGGGCGGCCCGTGGAGACCTGGTGGTCGACCTTTCATCCCTCGGATGCGGGGTAGAGGACGACCGAGGTTTTTCCATAACAACTTCAAACCTCGTGACGATCGCTACCGTCGCTATGAGAGAGACATGTCACGGTCCGATGACGACGACGGCAGTCCGATGCGTAAAGTGGATGCTGCCAAGGAGCGGATTGATAGAATGTTGAGCGAAGACAAGCGCCACACAGGACCGTTGAGCGAAGGAGAGGAAAGGGACGATGATTACATCGACAGGAAGGATTATGATAGAGAGAGGCCAAGACAGTCGACAAGTCCGGATATGGATAGGAAGAAGGAAGGAATCAAGGAGGAAAGGAAGAGTGGGGGAAAACCGAACCCTTGGTGAAATAGAGACTACAGTACATTGACAGCTTCTCATTAGATAAGTTTATTTTGTTAATTCAGTCAAAATATTGTATATATTTTATATGCATGTGCTTCTTATGTTTTAATTGAAGATTGTGCTACACTAAGATGGTCAAATAGTGTAAATTTAGATTTGATTAGCGTTACCTGTGCTAGCTGTTTAGGACCACTGTTTATAAATAAATTCACTTTGGTGTAATCTTTGTTATTTGTGGTACCTGTAAATTTCTGTTGTGCTCCGATGTAGTCATAAAAATTTGATTGTTCTGCTGAGTTACGTTTGAAAACAGACTATTTATCTGCCCTACATCTATAATAGTCAAGACTGAGATACTCATTTGAAAAACTTAAACCCCGTGGCCACTGAAAATTAAGTTTTCTAGCTTCATCAATAATGCTCCTCCATTCTTCTCAATCACCTGCGTCGTAGACCCAGTCTGGCAATGTCTTTCATTAGCCTACTTTGACTTCTAAATGGTTGTCTATCAACTCAATTTCTATAAAATTATTTTTAAAACAAGTTTGTTTTTCTATAATACATAAATGAGAACAAGTTGAGTGCATTTGAAATGTTATGGAAACAAAGTAAGATATTTTTACAAATGGGCCGATTCTCAATACTTAACCGTGTGTTTAGAACTTTGGTTTTAATATCCAGCATAGTCCAAATTCAATAAACATTTCAATCACGTGTTCATTCTCAATTTCAATAACAACACCACATCTACTCACTCATTGTTGTAGTGGAAAAGAACTACAATAATTCAATTTTGGATTATGGATGTCATTAATGTGAAATTGCCAAATTTCTGTTGAATATAAACAACTGTTGATACTCAAATCTCTTCTTCTTTATTTGTCAATGACATACACATACATTTTACATTAAATAGCGTAAAAATGCTTAAGGCTACTTACAAATTATAATATACTGAACGATTGTTTATTTTGTGGAGAATGGCTGAGGCAATACCAGGTAAGGTTGGGTCCACAAGGTTTGGAATGGAATTGTGAAATGGAAGGCAAAGGAGACAATGATAGCAAGTGAGGGGAAACAGAATTGAGGATTCTACCAATATCAAACAATAAATCGACTCTGCCATAAACTCATAATCTTGAGAAATTTGATGTGTATATTGGTTGAATAATGTATTATAAGTTAAGTACATAAGGTCGTACTTCATGTGGGGAAGTACTTCATTAGATTAGAAGACAAGTGATGGAAACCTTTGCATGTTACCGCTTACTCGAGGTAGGCATAACGTTGAAAACACATATTTTCTCTCTAATTTTAGGTTAAATTCTTAAGAGTGCACTTTAATAGTATTAATTAGTATTAGTATAGTAGTTATAATAGTATAATAGTAGAGGAGAACCAGTAGGATGATAGTTATCCGTTTTTAGCGAATTTCCCTATAGGGAAGTAGCTATTACCGTAGGTGGCACGGTAAGACCTAGACCCGGGACCGATTTACTTTTTCATCTTGATGTCTCCAGAGGCCAAAAACACCATTCGTTCAAATTTTTATATATGTATATATATATATATATATATAGACTTATATATATATAGACTTATATATATATATATATATATAGACTTATATATATATATACGTCCGTGAACGCGATAACTTGAGTAATTTTTGTCCGATTTTGATGAACTTTGGTTTAAAGGTGTAAAGCGGAATAAACTTGAATGAGTTCGCGAACCAGCACGATCGGACCATGGGAACGGGGCTTTACGGGGGGGTTTTATGGGGTAAAAATTGGTTTATCTCACTTTTGACCCTCAAAACACAAAATTTCCCAATTTCTCTTTAGACCTTTTTAAAGAGCTTAAACAAACAATTAATTTAGTAGACCTATATAAAAGTATTTTTGTTCGGTTAATAGTAACGGAGAAAATTAAAAAAAAAATTTAATTTAAAATTCCCATGTTTTCTTATGGAGATTGTCAAATGTTGTAGTTTGCTTGTTTATGGATATATTTTGTATTTTGATCAAATTCATTTATTTTGTAGCCTACTAAGCTATCAATATTTTACAAAAAAAACACACTTTATTAGTTTTCTTGTAGCAGCAAACCTAGGTACTCGTTAAACCTAATGTTATTAAAATATATTTAATTGAAAATAAATTAAGACAAATGGAAATTCGCTTAGTTGGCAGGTTTGCTGCGGCGGGGGTATTTATATTATCAGCAAGTTTGGTTGGTTAGGTTAGGTTATGACAGTTTAATTTTATAATTAAAAATTTTTAAATTAATTTTATAGTTAAAAAGTTAATTTTTTAACTAAAATATTAAGAAATAAGATATTTATTTTCCCATTTTTTTAACATTAAATTGTTTACAACATCACTAATTACACTACTAGCCATGGCATGACCTATAATATACTAAGGATGAGAAACATACTTTAAAAAGAATAAATGATAAGCTATATAAAACAAAATTTGATTTTCAAGTTAATTACAGTAGCCATATATCTACATGTTCAAACTAAATTATATTAATTTTGGGAAAATTGCATGGCATGACCTATAATATACTAAGGATGAGAAACATACTTAAAAAAGAATAAATGATAAGCTATATAAAACAAAATTTGATTTTCAAGTTAATTACAGTAGCCATATATCTACATGTTCAAACTAAATTATATTAATTTTGGGAAAATATTATAAAATAAATTTAAGGATTTTCTTCAATCGACTTGAGGGGCTCTCCCACAATCCCCCACTCTTTCGCAGAAAAGGTTCTCATCAGTTTCTGGATGGGGAAAATGCGACGCCAGTAATAACTTAGTGTCAGTCAATTAATTAATGATACCATCCAAGAAAATGTCAACATTAGATAATATGTAATAAAAGTAAGACCAGGGTTGGGAATGCTCCCTTACCCTTACATAAAAAACTAAAATACCCAAAATTGAACCATCCAAGTATTGCTGCATTTTAATAAAAACCAAAAGTAGTCATGGGATTAATGCTCAAGAAGTATCAAGTGTGTCTTCCATTCCAAACAATGTTGTTTTAAAATACATTCATAACACAAACGTCTTCAACAAGTTAAAGAAAGGCAAACTCTAAAATTAATTCAAGGACATCAATAAACTTGTTTACTAACCTAATAACTAAATAACTCTTAATTTTAAATATATTATTTTCTAAAAAGTTTAAGAACAATTACATGAGATGAGAACTTAGTTTTTTTTTTCACTGGACCCACAGCATACCCTGGTAGTTAGCCTTTTATTTAATAAATAAGTGATCCTGATTAAGAAAAATCTGATCTTAGAAACAAATCTAAATAAAGCATCTAACTCCATTAATTACATTCAATCGCTTTTATCACTAATCTTTAACTTCCATTCAGATCAAAGTGCAGCATTTGTCCATGTCTCAATAATGATAATATTTTATGAGATAATATTATGATATTGAGTGTTTATTTAGGTACCAAAAACAAAACATTCTGTTTCCAGTTTCCACTATCATTCCCTTATCAATTTCCTGTTATGGAAAGATAAAGCTTGCTCCATGAAGATAACTATTGTACTTGAATGTATCCAGCAAAACTAGTTTCATTTTGATCTGTGGTAATAAACAAATTCATTGTTTGTCAACCTATATGTTCTGTTTCAAGTGCTGTTATCTATCTTAATTGCTTATATGATTAATGAGAGATAAATGAACACACCTAAGCAAACAATTGGGAGTGATGAGTGAGCACAGACGAGTCATGACCATGACAATGTTTTTATCACAGTGTACTGCAGATAGTTCCAGTGCTGCTTTTACTAACCTTAGAACTGCACCAACGCAGCAAGTGAGTAAATCTAAATAGTTAAAAAAATCCTCAATTCCATTTAACTAGAAGTTTATTTACCATACCATGGGCAATTCAGTCACTCATTGCTCATCGTGCAATACATCTGACAAAGAAGTAAAAATCAAATGCACTAACCACTTAAAAAATACATGCAACAAAGCATTTCATGAGAGGTGCATAACGAGCAAATTGGCACACCGCTCTTACCACAACTTCAGCAAGGAAAATTGGTTCAATCAGGGTTGGTTGTGTGACGAATGTTTGCTTAAACAATACAACATTGAAACAGATATACCAGGCCAGGCAAACGTTTTGGGACTTTCTATATCTAAGTTACTTAAGGACAATGGAGAAATAAAGCTTCAACTTGATATTCTCCAGTATACAGTGGATGAGTTAAAAGAAGCTATGAAACACAAGAATTAATTTAACACAGGTAGTGTTGTGTACAGTAATGGAACTGAACATGGATAGGTATTATGTACTAGAGCCGTCTGAGAAGCTGAATAGTCTGGACTTTGACTGTGTTACACTAACTTGAGGTTATTAATAATATTTTAATGTAAAATAAAGTTATAATTATAATTTTGAATTGCTTTTTATTTTCACTTCTTTAGTTAATTCTTCACAAATTCTAGGTTATTAAAAACCTAATTCTTGTGTTTTTCTAAAGTTAGTTTTTCTATAATTTCTAACAATTAACTAAGTTAATGGTTTTGGTTTACTTCTTTTTGGTTTTTGTTACAGAAAAGTACATACCCTGGCTTTGCTTTTAACTTTTAACTCAATAAAATAAATTTTGTGAACATCTAGGAAAAAGTGATATCACAGCTTATTGTTTTAGAAATTATAACAAAGTAAAAGAAAAGAACTTTACCATCTAACATAATGATATTCAAAACGAAATAAAATATATTAGGCTTACACAGGGTGGAAAAAAGTCCTGTGACGGTTAAATATTTCAAAAAGTACCTAATAAAGATAGAGCTTTAAAACTTGGTACACAGTTACTGGGCATTAGAATCATTATAACACATTATTAAGTTGATATGCACATCAAATTAAAGGCTTTTACTAGTAGAGTTCAATGCCGCAAATTTAAAATCAAACAAACTACCGAGTAAAAAATGGCAGTCGTTCAAACATTTCTTAAATCTGCCATTTTGAATCTTTGAACGAATGCAATTTTTTACTCAATTGTTATTTTGAGCTCAAATTTGAGGCAATGTATTCTACTAATCCCAATGCAATTCTACCAAACCCTTTAACTTGATGAGCTTATTAACCTATGCACACAGTTTTGATTTTCTTCCGACTTCCTATTAACATGTGTCCAACAATTGCCTAGGCATTTGACAGTGATC